TGTTTGTTCGGTTCGCGTGTCTGAATTTATTCCCATTTCTTTCTGCCTCTCCCACGCATCTGCCCTCTTCTTTTTCCTTCTTTTCTCATGTTCCAGCCAGGTTCTGCGTCCTTTTTTCCGTTTTTTTATTTTATTTTATTTTGGCAGCGGTTATTGTAGAACAGAGAGTTGAACCTCTGCAAGTCAAATTTCTAGGGGCCGCAGGAAAAAAAAAATCAGCTTATAGGGAGGTTTCCAGTTGACGAGGAAGCACACTTTTATTGTGAGGAGAAGTGAAAAAAAGTATGGGAAATCATGAATGAAGATATTCTGGGCCTAAACTTGCTCCTTAATGAGTTTACACATTAATATGCTGAACCTGAAGGCATTAGCTGGGGTTCATTTGCTATATATTTGTCTTGCACTTCCTTTCAAGATGCATAAAATAATTTGTTGTTTTAATCATTTTCTCTTTCATATTTCAAGGAGATAATAACCAGAAAGCAAAAGAAAATTTGACTTACAGGGGTTTTAGAGAAAAAGACTTTGAGTTACAGAGGTTGTTAATGCATTGATTCTAATAAAGGGAATTCAGACAGGGACTTTAAAATACTGTATGTTGACTTAGGAAGGTTTGGCTTATTGAGGTTCACCTGTATTTATTTGAAAAATTGAAAAAAACAGTCCCATTTCAAGGGACCAGAATGAAAAAAGTTGACTTTTGGAGTCAGTGAGCCGAGAATTGTTGTGAAAAACATGGAAGAATTGCACAAAATTGTAAATGGTAATATTCTAGGTCTAGGCCGTAAACTGCTTCTTAAATGAGTTGAAAGGGTGCTGCACTTGAAGGGATGGGTTCATTTGCCCAATTTAGTCTTTTACTTCCTTTCAAAACACATCAAATTTCATTTTATTTAATAATTTTTTCTTTCCTGTGTCAAGAAAATAGTAGCCAAAGGGCTAAAACAAAAGTTTGAATTATGGAGGTTTGAGAGGGAAAGCCTTCAAGCTATGAAGGATTTTAATGCATCGTTTTTTAAAGGAATTCCATGCTGGGACTTGGAAAAAAAATTTGACTTTTAGGAAGGTTCAAGGTATCAAGGTTCAAATGTATATGTGTGGCATTCATCAGTAAATACTGTACTGTCTATGTCGTAGATAGAGAAGCTCATCGTTCTTGGATGCAAACTTTTGCAGCTCACAACAGTGTCACTGGGCCAGAATAATAGGTTAGAGACGTGGAGAATGATTGATCCGAAATTGGTCATGACGTGTGTGCCGTGAGTGAGTGAGTGAGTAGCCCGTATAAATCCCCGAGCTGCCAAAAAAAAATAGTGCCACAAATTTTGCAAATAAAAGTTGCTGTTCGGAAACTGCTGCCCCCCCTCACGCACCCACCACTCCATCTTTTCCGCTCCTGTTTTTTTTTGGGTTTGAGCCCTGGGGGGATTTCGGAAAAGCATTCATGAGAGAGAGTCGCGTGGGCGTGCATGCACGCGAGTGTGCAAACCGTGTTACTACGGATTTAAGCTGTTTCCGATTGAAAACTTTTTCTATTTCTCTTTTTTCATTTTTATTTCTTTTTCCTGCTTGCCCAACTGTCCCAGTTTCCGAGGGCGGACGTGCTGGTGATTTCAACGAGCACCACACGGTGTTCCGTTCCGTTCTGCAAAATGATACGGAACCCACTGTACATCGTACTGGGTACTGCATTTCCCTGCATTTTCTAGGATAAGACAGGGAATGTCAATAAGTTACGTCACTTGAATGCTTCAGTTTAGAGACAAAGGACCAGACTACCGCTGCTGCTGGCCCCTCGAGAAAAGGACGAGTGAATAATTTTCGCTTTTTTGTTGATGATATAAAAAACCAATACAGAAAAATATTTATAAATTAAGCTTCTTCAACTATAAATGCTTGACCAATAACCCCGGCTTTACTTATTGAGCATTCGACTACAAACTACGAAGCATGAATTCGGCAAAAAACCGACGATTTAGTGAGCACATCAATTGAATGATTGACAAAACGACGCCAACCGAATGATTAAAAAAGTAAATTCAATTCTCCCATCTGATGGATCAGCGTTTCGATGATGGGTTCCAAATTTCAAACTCCTCATTATTTATCTTTTCACACTGAAAAGCTTGATGGCACGAGTACTGTGCAGGGTTAACGAAAATTAAAATCCTGTAATATACTGCCTTCGTTACATTTTTCTCATTCGTCCTCAGTATTACAGTGAAATGCAATTATTATTTGCTTCTTTTTTCTTGTCGCCAATTTTCCACTTCATTTTTTCTCTCTCAATAGTTTCCCCATCTGTGACCCCAGGAACCAGTCTTGAGCGGGAAAATGATTGGGTAGCTAATCAGCTCCTCGAATTTGAAATGCGAATCGTGGAGGAGGAGGGGGGTATTATTGAGAGCAAAAAAGAAATAAAGAAAAAAGAGAATGTATCGAATGCAGAGCGGATGATTGCAGGGCGCCGATAAATAAGCGTCAAATCCTTGCGGGATAATCCCTCCAACACCCGTCATAGAAAAAAAAAGAAAGATTCGAGTATATATATAAAAAAAAAGATAAAATGAAAACCACGACCAAAAAAAAAAGTAAAAAAACCGCCCCCGCACACAGGTTCGTGTGCACGTTCAACAAAGCGTTAAAAAACGCGTGTTCATGATACTTTCGGGATCGGGGGACCCGATAAATTTTTTACCCCCAGGTTAAACCTAATTGTGTGCGCACCCGCAGCTCATCCGCGCCGTCTGGCCTCAAGAGCCTAATTCGATTTAAAAAAAGAAAAAAACCTCTACAGCAGTGAAACCCCCCAGGGAATTTTTTTTTTTCATAAATCTTTACAACCTGATAAATTATTACGCCCCCGCGTCATCAGGAATTACCGTGAGAAGATTCGATGAATGAATTTAAACCGGCGCTCTCTGACAACTTCACATCATCATCCTCCCTTTCCCTCTTCTCCTGGTTCTTTAAAACGGGAAATGAAAAAAAAGAGGGGCCGAATCGCTGACTAATGCTGATATCTTCTGAGTTATGAACTCAGTTTTCCTCCCCTCCCACATGGTCGTAAAATATGACGAGTTCATCAAAACACTCGGATTTATGTCCGCAGGTGTGACTCGGCACTATTTTTTTTTATTTTTCAAATGGGAAACAACAATCGATCATGTGCATCGTTTTCTACGACTGTAAGCGTTTGAGCTAGATGGATGCTGATGTGGTCATTTTCAAAATGGCAAAAAAATCGAATAACAACGAGAAATGTATCTCAACAATTAACCGGAATGTTTTTCTTTTTTTTAAACTTCGTTGCGACCTTTTACTTAGAGCATGGTGCAGCGAAGTCTTGTTACATCACATTTTTTCGATGCAGCATGAAAAAATGTTTTCTCAATTCTCAGCACAAAGCCCTTAAAGTACGTACTAAAAAATTGTCCATCAAACAAACTTCCCAATCTCAGCATAATAATGTTTCTGAGGAATGTCCAATTGAGTGGTGAACATTTCTTGACCAAAGCTGGCACGGCTGATATTTCCAATCAATCATAAATGTGACTGACTATTTCCTTCAGCATGATTGGAAGCTGTCATTTATGAATAATGGGCTTCGAATACACAAGTGGTACCTTGCAATTCAATCATCCAGCAATTCATCCATATATTATTGTGCAATTCAATGGTCAAATTTGACCACAAAGAGACAGAAACCATCAAATAGGATGTAGAAAACATTGCATTTGATGTCGCCTTGCAATTCAACTGCTTGGCAATTCAACCTTATTTAGTCCAGCAAAATGGACTATAGGGTTAAATTTAAATTGGTTCCCACACATCACCCTTTTGTATAGAATCAATGGATTCATGCAAATGATGCAATTTATGATTGAAGCTACAGTGTTTTTGTTTTTCATTTCGGAAAATCACTCATCAGGTTTTCAAACAATAAATCTTGAAAAAAATCTGAAAATGTCAGCAAATAGAGAGATCTAATTGATTCCAGGCCAGGGAACAATAATGGCTTCCACAGCAGTCGTCAATAATTTTGAAAATCATCTCTTTATAATAATGTAAAACTTTTTCAGGGCAACAAACTTGTTCTCTCTCTAATAGTCCCCCAATAAAAGTGTGTTGTACAATGAGATTGCACTGCACCTCATCGATTTTTCCTGAAAAATAAAAAAAAAAATAAATAAAAGTTACTCATAATTTTTTTTCTGCGATTTAACGATGATTTTTTCATTTTTTTTTTTTGCAGAGCGTGATCCAGATGCTCGGCTTCCGCAGCCTCGGCGACGACGAGGAGATCGACTTCGAGTGCAAGGTGTCTGACAAGGGCCTGGAGGCGACTCTGGTCCAGGGCGTGGACGGCAACGACTGCCACGGCTCCCACCGCCGCCCCATGTCCAAGAAGAAGTTCCGCCGCCTCCGGTGCTACAACTGCGGCGAGTTCGCCAACCACATCGCCAGCAAGTGCACCCTGGGCCCGCAGCCCAAAAAGTGCCACAACTGCAAGGGAGAGGACCACCTCATCGCCGACTGTCCCCAGCGCCGCTCCGACGACAGCCGCTCCAAGTCCGTCAGCTCGGACTCGTCATCGACGGCGGCGGCACCGTCATCGTCATCGCAATCTGCCGTGTCTGCTGCCACCACCACGACCGCCGCCACCAACACCACCACTGACGCACCGAAGCAGAATGAAAAGGCCGCCTGATGATGATGAGCCTCTCATCTGATATATGATGAGCCTGATGAGAAACGACATTCCTATCGTTGTCTCACGCACGTCATATGTCTCGAAGAAAGAAAGAAAGAAAAGAGAAAGAGAGAGAGAGAGGAAAAAAATAGGAACTCGACACACAAAAAAAAAAATTGAAATATAGTAAAATGGGAAAAATGGAGGGTTCGCATTGTATCGTTATATGGACAGAGATGAGAAGAGGGTTGAGTGTCGTGGTTTTGTTTTTTCTTCTCTCGGCGGAAAGAGGCGGTCGGTCGCCGCTCTTCCTCTGCCGCCATCGTCGTCGTCGTCGTCGTGTCGCGCGATATTTCTCCTACTCCCTGTTATAATTTTTTTTCCTGCCATGCAAACAAAAAACTACACACGCAGATGATTTCATCCGGTCCGATGATGGAGGGGAAAAAAAAGAAGATGAGGAAAAGAAAAACACACGAAGAATTAAAAAACGACAACATCTAACGGGGAGGGAGAGCGGGGAATATCCAGAGAAAGAAGATCCTCGGCCTTAGGCGCCGTCAAAAAGTTGCCACAGGGGGCAAAAAAACGAAAGAAGGAAACAGAAATGTGCCACCAGCATTGCAAAAAGGGAGAAGTACTACACCTGCTCTTTTTATTCTTATTTAGTTTTTATTTTTGGCCTTTTTCTCCCTCTTCTCTCTTTACGAAAAAAGTTCAAGATGGCTGCAAATATGCTGACGATTATGACATCGAAGCCATTTTATTTTCTCCTTCTTGGCCTTCTAGCTTTCCTGCTAGAACAAAAAAAAATCAAAACATCCTTTCTTCCTTCATTATATCCCCTTTTATTTCCTTCTGGAAGAAATTCAGTTTTGAAAGCAGGAGGTGCGAGAAAAGAAGAAAAACATCCCGCAAGTCGAAGCAACAAAAATGAGGAGGATAATACCACTAAAAAAAAAGAAAAAATTAATAATATCAGGAGAAAGAGGAGAAGCAACACCAGCACCGTTTGTTGTCGGAGGAGAAATTCATCTGAAGTGAGAAAAGAAAAACATCAGCCGCAAGAATGATAACTTTTCTGTTTTTTTTTTTTTGGTTTTCAATTTGATTACATTTATGCGTGTGTTTATGAGCATGTGTGTGTGTGAGAGAGAGTGTTTTTTTGTTTTGTTTTGTTTTAAGGATTCGAACTACAACTATTTGGGGTCAAATCAGGTGCTTCACACGGATTCAGTCTCAACGGGACCTTTACTTGTCTTCTCCCCAGCCCTTGTCTTGTACTTTCTGGGGTTTCTGTTGTAGACAATGTTTAAAGATAAAAAACGAGTCGGAAGAGACGATTATTCGCAATCCGACTCCGAGGCGCAGTGGAATGGTCATGCCAAAAAAAAATTAGTTGTCCGAGTGGCGGAGGAAGCAAAAAGCTTCCTTGATGAACGTCGAAGCCTGTCTGTACTATTTCAATGGGATTTTTGTGTTGTTTTGTTTTGTGACTTGTATAGATTAGCGTGTTTTTAAAAAAAAAGAGAGAGGGAGAAATGCAGCCCAGAGGAACCCAGAAAAAAAAACGTTTCGGTTCTGCATATAAAAAAAATACCTCAAGTCTCGTTTCATTTCCATTATTCACTTATTGGCATACCTGTAAGATATGGATGCTGATGGAGGCAGGAATTTCCTGATAAACAACGCATTGTATACTCGACAAAATAGCAACAAATGAACGTCGTCGTCCCAAAGATAGGCCACATTCACAATAAGAGATAAGACCCTCATAAAATGGTAGTCAGTGTTTATCCTAGGTCGTGTCAACGTGCAACAGAAGACTCGAACGAGAAAAAAAAGGGCCGCAAATGAATAGTCCTGAAGAGACCCCAGTGTCTTATTATCCTCATCATGTCCAACGTAAATTTTGCCCTTGCTTTTTCTATTTAAAATTGGAAGGCATTCGTAAAAAAAATAATAATTCGCCTAGAAATCGAAGCGGAAGAAGTGGACCCAGCACCACAACAAGAGGAAGTCAGCTTTGACCTGGTCTCACCCAAGGCCCCCACGACCGAGTCCATCTTCCTCGCCCCAGGACCCAACTCGGGTCAATCTTCTTTGAAACGAGGCTCAAACCCGTCAGCGTTAGAAAACGGGACTCATCCGTGAGTAGAAATTCAAATAAATACTGTACTGTAGTTTTGGCTCCATTCGAAAATGCTTTTCAAACCAGCATCATACACATCGGTTAAAACGGATGATACATGCTGATATGGCACCTTTACATCACTCTCACTTGATATGCCCTGTAGTGAAATTAGCAAATCATTACGCAGTACTGTACAGTACATCATGATGGTGACTCACATATACTGCTTTCACTCACAATGCCAAGCCAAATTCTATTCTATTTTGGATTTCTCAGTGCTGAAAATGACGAGTTGATGAATGCAATCGTGAGGCTTTCTCACATTTTTATCTGCATATTTTTAGCGTTTATTCACTTTTTACGGCTCTTGATTGTCTCACGCGGTTTAAGAACGATGTTCAATTCTGGGGCTATTGGTTGCAATTTTAATCCTTCATCAGTTTTCAATTGAAAAGATGAGTGCGCCTCACATTCTATGCAATTTTATTCGCAAGCCCACAAAGGGGTCAACCTTTCAAAGATACTTTACTGTATATGTACAGTTTAACCTGAAAACCTCTGGAAGACACATTTTTTTCAAGCCCCTGTCTGAATTCCCTTAGAAACAATCCATGAAACACCTCCCTAATTTAAAGGCTTTTTCTCTCAAACCCCTTGTAATTGAAATTTGCTGAGTCCTTTTAGCTATCATTTTCTTGACACCATAAAGAAAGAATCAATAAAAAGGGAATTTGATGTTTTTGAAAGAAAGTGAAAGACTTAAATTGGGCAAATGAACCCCTCCCTCCAAGTTCAGCATCCTGTAAACACATGTAACCCCTGGGCGGCAGTGCCAGGGTTTATCCAAACATTTTGTACCCCAAATGAGTAGAAAAAATAGGGGGGGGGGGGATGATTAGAAGAACCAGAGTCGGGAAAAATCCCAATTCTTTCAGCATTCCTGCAGATAAATTTGCAAAAAAAGAGGGAAAAAATTGCTGTTGGGTGGTATTTTTCTGCATTCCTGCAATAAGGTTAGCATTTTGGTGACCTTTGGTCCAACAAAAATGCAGAAGGCTGCAAAAAAATCTCAGTACCGTTGCACAATGCAAAATAACCTGCTGCCACCATTCAAGGCCCAAATTATCACCACTGCTCACAATTTTGTGCACGTTTTCTGCGTTTCCCACAACAAAAATGCTTGGTTCTTTAACTCAAAACCTAGCTCTCCAAGTCCGACTTATTTTTTTGCTGGTGTCTTGAAATTCAACTCGTCGGAGAGGTTCAACTGCACATACATAAATATTTTTCTGTCTTTTTTACAAAACCGGAAGAATAAATTCACGGCAGAGTTGGATCTGCCGAGTAGATACCCATAAGTTGACTCTATTTAAGAGAAACGCGTAATACTGGAATAAGGCTCGAGTTGGAAAAGGTCCCCCACAAAGTCGTAGACATTCAGGAAACTCCTGTTGGGACACTCAAACAACTCGTGCAGTGCCGCCAAGTACGCCAGACACAAAGGCAGGGACTTGTGCAGCAACTTGGGCCTGGATCCCTTGTCAACCTTGACCTTGAGCCTGAGGAACTTCCGCTCCAGGGCGTCCAAGCGCGCCATCCGGGACGCCAGGGCCATCTGCATGGTGGTGGTGGTAGTAGTACCAATACCAGTACCAGTGGCAATGATGTTATTGGCGTCCATTACGTGGTCGTGATGGTCATCCAGGTCCTCGTGCTTTTCACTGCACACTAGACACTTGGGCTTTCGCTCGTCGCTGAGGTCTGCAAACTGGGGCCAGTCTTCGCGACACGCCTGGCAGTCGCAGGCAAAGTAGTAATTGGCACCCAGCCACGACAGTCTGCACTCGAATCAATGATAAGCACGGATTCAAATCCAAAAGCCGACACTATACAGTATATAGAACGCTGAGCGGGGCAAAAATGACGTGGAAGAAAATGACGCCGGCAAAAAATAAAATGAAAGCTCTTTTCACAAGCATGCCGCTTTTCTAAATTTCCATAGCGAATTTCAACCTATATACATGTGCAGCAATCTACTCAAGCTTTTATGCTTCACTAAGACGATGAGAAAATTTGATAATTTTGGATCACCTGCTCAAAAGTGGTATCGTTCTGAATTTATTTGGAAATTCTGCCAAAATGTAGCTTCTCATGAGGGAGGACACAAGCAAATTTTCGTAGCAAGTGAATGAGACTCATCGAAATTGTCTTCATTTTTACAAGAAAAACTGGCATCACATAGTCATAGTTATTTTTAAAGCAGAATAATAGAATATTCATTTATAAAAAAAGAATGGACAAAAAATCACCAGGAGGATGTTCAATCAACCAAAAGAGGTTGCTGAGAATACTTGAGTTATATTTGTTCACTGAAAAATGTCGTGATTTGCAGGACTTTCATCTATATATATAAATATGCCCTTTACGTTGCATATATGGCATACTCTTGAAGCATATATTACTTGTTTTTTCTCTCTCTCTCTCTCGAGTTTTGCCATTTCTTTCTCTCAATCATTGCCGCGGCATTTCCTCGCACGTCATCATCATCATCATCGTCATCATCAGCAGCAGCAAGGCAAATTAGAATTAACCCACCTGTCGGCCCTGGAGTCGCAGTAAAAGTATTTGCCGTAGGAGATGTGGACCTGGTCGCCGGGCTTGGCAGGCAGCAGGGCCCTGCACACCAGCTGGTTGTCTACAAAGTAGTGCATGGCCTCTGGGAAGCACGAGTGGTTGAAGAAGGCGGCGTTGGGGAAGAAGGCGCTGCCGACTTCCGCCACGTTCGTGATGTCGCCCACTGACTTCAGCGGCACGTTTTCCGGCAGCGAGAAGAAGTTGCTGGACACGGACAGGACGCAGTGAAACAGCAAGCGACCAATGAACCTTTTGTCCGCCTCCTACATTGCAGTATACATCATCTTGTTGTTGTCGAATGAATGACACAAATGAAAAAAATAAATAAAAATTAGACCTTGGTGAGGCTGCTGGCAAAGTAGGACGCCTGGTCCAGCGACTTGACCAGGTAGACGGCGGCTGCTGCAGCCCGGAAGCTCACCACGGGGTTCTTGTCCCACACGTGGGTCAGAGTGGCGTAGACGGCGGGGAAGTTGCGCACCTTGGTCTTGTGGCCAAAGATGACGTTGTGCTCGCGGAAACTCTCAATCTGGGCAATGACGGGTGCCCAGCGACGGAAAAAGTCCACGTGGTCCTGCGTGAACACGCGGTAGGCCAAAAGGACGCCACTGTTCTCGCCCAGCAGGCGCAAGTCGAGGATGTGCGTGCACTCGATCGAGTGGTACACGGTGGCCGAGTCTTGGCACTTTTCCGAGCAAAAGCACACCTTGATATATTGCGAAACAATCATATCATTATTCAATGTGACGATAAAAAAATTGAAAATCACTCACCAGTGAACACGAAGGACATGGAATCACAATGTCACAGGGCCGCAAGCAGTGCTGGCAATGCGTCTTCCAATAATTTGGCACGCAAACTTTCGCATACGGCTCCTCAACTGACAACACCTCACCTATGATGTATTCAAAAACGACAGAAATGGAACAGACAGTGACATCTAGGTATACTTTAAGGTCCCAGCCGGATGAATGATTCTAATTCAACTGCAGATAGATGACGCTAGCTAAAAATATCCAGATTCATAAAAGGATACTGTACTGTGATTCCTTTCCTCCTCCTCCCCCCCCCCCCCCCATCCATTGGATTCGGGTTCCCTCAGTTTAGCATTCAGAATCTTCATTATTACTGTATACAGCACAGGAAAGGTTCTGGCTACTGCTGGGTATAGTGGGGCCCACATGAAATCAAATCATTCTCTAGATACGATTAAAATCACACGTACGATTTAAAAAATGTTGGGCACTTCCTCAAATTTTTTTTTAGTGTTTATGCATATACAGTATATATACTAGCCAGGGTGAATGTCGGCCGCCGCCACGTAATGGCGCCCATGAGGCACGCTGTAGACGCAGTCGAGGCGGTTGGTGACGGTCGCCACTTTGCCGCTCGGACCGCCGACGATTTTCGGCGGCAGAGCCTGACTCAAGTGCTGATGCAGCCTTTTCGGCCTCTTATTATCGTTCTTGTCGTCATTCTTTGTCCCACTCGCTCTGCCTTTCGTCGTCAGGGCCGTCGTCGACGAGGACAATGCCTTATTATTGGCCATCGTCGTGTCTTTCGTCGAAGACTCTGTGTCTGCATCTGTGGAATCCTCGGGGTCGTCACTGGCGTCTGAGGCGGCCCTGTATACAATAATACTGTATATTGAATATAGTTGGATGCGGAAGACAAAAGATGGAACAAGGTGAAAGGAAAACTCCCACGCATTATGCCTACCCTCCGCAGCATAGCATAAATTCCATTTGAAATCTGCCGAACTTTAATCATAGTTTATTGTTTGGAAAATAAGCCACGGCATCATTAAAACCATTCCAAGTTGGGATATATACCGTCAAAAGAATAAGTTGAAGCAAAGACCTCATTGATCTTGAAAGTTTAACGTGTGGGAAAACCATCACGAGCTGCTGATGGCGGGGGGGGGGGGGGGGGAATGAATACTGTACTTGANGGGGGGGGGGGGGGGGGGGGGGGGGGGGGGGGGGGAAATGAATACTGTACTTGATTTATTTCTCGTGATCCTGCAAAATTAGGCTGGTATTTCATGCATCTTCAGGAAGTCATTAAAAATAAAAAAAGGGCAGAGCCAATTATTGTAAAAATGATGATGAAACAAAGAATATTCATTCAGCAGAGATGCCAACTCGTATGTGCTGTATATACTGTACTGTAGTTGATTCGGAAGTGAAAGGCCTTTGAGAAATGCGTGCAGGTCTTCGCATACTTGTTGTTGCAAGTCGTGAGTTTGTCAGATTTGACACTGCGCAACAAGATCTCGCACTTGGCCCTGCGGAACTCGAGGCGTTTGCGAGCAGAAGTGGGCAGATTGAACGACAGGGCCCTGTTGATGTCATCCAAGCAGTTGCCGTAGTCACCTGATATATGATATGATATGATGATGAGGAACCCATATGAAATATTCCAACTTGCGTCTCAAAAAAAAAAAAAAAAAAAAAAACGAAGGAGCCAATGATGGGATGCAGATATAGACGTACACCACAAGAAGGAGACGGCGGATCGGTGGCAGTAGATCAAGCCCAGGGACTCGGACTTGGGCGCCACGAGGGCAGCTTGGTTGTAGTACCGCATGGCCTCCGTGTACTTCTTTTGCAAGAAGCTGGAATACCCCCGCTTTTCCAGTTTCGTCGCCACGTCCAAGTCCTTTCCCTTCCTGTGTAGACACACACATATATATATATGCTGTACATGCGCACAAAAATGACCAGGAGAAGTTTTAGTATTCGAGACTCGAGACTACTATATACAGCATAGATATACTGTATAGATATATTCAGCATTATTCCGAGGACATAATATTATTCATCAAAATGTAGAAAAATTATTTTTTCAAAAGAAAAAAAAAATAGTTCCATGTATAGTATCCTTTATGTCGGGGTCCCCCGTTACTGCACATGAGCCGTGATGAAGCGGGTTCATCAGGGTGGACCTTATATTTACACGGTCCACAGAAATATTGGCGGAAAATATTTCGATGTTTCAGATTAGATGCGACACCTGCCCATGCGCGGTCGAAACTCGCGCGCCGCGACACAGTCGTACACCACGTCAAAGAGGTCGCCCTCTCGCTTCTGCGCCATAAACTCCTCGAACACCTTGGCATTCTGCAGCCGCTGCAACAACTCCTGAAACCCCACTCGCGGGCTACGTAGTTCTACAGCAGCAGCAGCAGCAGCAGTGGTGATACTTTTCGTGGCGGCGACTGTAGGGCGCCTCGTCGTCGTCGTCGATTCGGCGCCCAGCAACGCCCCAACTTCCAACTCGGCGGCGGCATTATTGTCGGCGAGTTTATCTGGCCTGAAAAAGTCCACGTCGTTGCTGGTGGCGAAATTCGCCGGCGACTCTGCCTGGGACGCCATCTCTCTCTCTCTCTCTCACCCCCCTTTAAAAGGGAAACAATTTTAAACCACACCGACCAACATGGCGATGAAGGTTTCTTCCGAACACCGAAACACGAGGGATTAAAGGCGGCAGGTGAGAGAGACACACATTTTGCGAGGATAATAAACAAGGTGCTGGGACCGGATTCATTTCTCTCTCTCTCTCGCTCTCCTCTTCCGCCCTGCGGAAGCGTCGCCATGACAACTGCTTCTGTTTTGATTGAGACTGGCGAAACAAGAGCAGCAACAAAGAAGGAAATGAACAGTCGTGGAGTGGACTGCTCAAGAAAAAGCTCAGTAGTGTCGCTAAAAAATAACAAAATCACATTGTTACGGCGCGGTGAACAACATATCATGTCTGCAAGTGACGATAATCATGATGGCGAATTTTGGCACGGACTCGTGTCGAGCAGGAATGACAACTACTTGTTCCTGACACACGGTCACAGGTCTGCTGCTCAGCACTACGTTTCAGCGACGTGAGCATTTAACTCATTCTTTCTGCATGTCGCTTTTTGATCTCGAAAGCGATTTAAAAAATGACGCCAAAAAAAAACACTCATTCAGGTCACGATGACGTGTGTCGTGATTCATACGGACAAGCATTCCATCCACTCTTTTTTCCCCAAAAACGTGTGTATTTCCCTCATTCACTGTATATTCATGCTGCGAGAACAGCAGAGTGCTGATGTTTGAAAAAGAAGAAGAAGAGGAAGAAAAAGGGCGGCGGACACGGAAAACGTGGTGATGCAAATGAGTCACATGTGCACGTTTCCGAAGTGGCCATCACAGCAGCGAGGACGCCTTTTTATGAATTCAAATTGTTTTCCATTCGTCCCTTCCGACTGCTCCTGCGTTTGATGGTGACGAGAACGATGACGATCACAATATAAGGATAAAACACGCGAGTCTCTCTCTGCTGCTGTTGGAGCGTAGGTGTCGTGCACTCGACTGAATATATGAGGATAAAAACAAAGACTCCACTTCGTTGCCTGAATAAACTTTCTTCCTTGGACGTTTCCTGTCTGAAAAGAAAAAGAGAAAAACGCCGAGCCAGAGAGTCAGCAGCAGCAGCAGTCGGCTGCTCGTTTCTCTCGTGGCCAGATGTGTGTATCACTGCAGTACTTTTTATACAGTGAAATCCCGCGAATTATTCACAACCAATCTCAATTCGATGCTGCTGAAAAAAAGGACCTGCGAAAAAAGTGCGCACGATATTTCGCAGTTTATCGCCACAAGTCTCATATAGTACGCCTGTTCGTGACGAGGTTTCAATAATTGCCAAAGAAAAGGCAGCAAAACACTTTTTATTTATATCTGGAATTTGAAGCAAGCCTCCTGAAAAAGTAATGCAGTACAGTGCTGTAGTCGTGTGATGACTTTAAATTATGCATTCATTTGACCGCCCTTTATTCATCCAAGTGCCTGCAATCGTTTTTTTTTTCAGTGCTGAGTACATGTTTTACAATCTTGAAGGTGTCAAGAGTAATAACACAAATTTAAATGACCGTAATTCCGAATAATTATAGATTCAAGCCAACACTTGGCAGTAAATTTCCAATATGCGAAAAGTTTCTTCATCATCAGGGCATTTCGTGAACTGATATGGTGATGCTGATTGGGAAAGTTGACCTTGAGCTTTCAAGCTAGTGATGGTACCCAAATTTTTACTCTAATCTGTTGCCGGATTAGGGTTGAATTACAAGGCAGTCAAATTGCAAGACACACTCTATACAAATAAGAAACAGCCGCAACAAAAATACACTAGAAAAGTGGATGAAGGTAAATTTGCAACTATAAAGGAATCCATTTCATAGCAAGCACATAAATCCAAAATAAATCACTTTACATATCGGATGCCTTTAACAAATACTGTACGTTTAGTATCCGATGGATGCCTACTTTAAGTACTGTATATATCCCAAAAGCGGCATATTTCACCTATTCTGCATAATATACTTGTAAAAGCGAAAAGAAAAGCGTATTATTGCAGATTGCAAAAATGACAAGTGACCTTTATTTAGCCCTTTAAACTTCACGCTGGACCTTATAGAATTGTTATGTGCTGGACATGGACCCGAGTCCATTTGTGGAAGTGGCCCTCGGAATAAGAGACAACGTGCGTCGACTGTGTCCGTTATTGACGCGTCGACGGCGTCGCACGACGAGTGACGATCCATCTGTAGACGAAGTTCCTGTCGTCACTTCGACAGCGTCGGGACGGCCGTCGTCGGCTGTCGATGACGACCGTCGTCGCTATCGTCGCGACAGTGACGCCAGTGACCCCGAATTTCATTCCACGCAGCTAGAATTACTTCCGAGGCCAGGGGACGAAGACAACGAGGTCAACACGACACCGTTTAAAGCCATCGAGTAAGAGAGCTGTAACAAAACAAAAATAAATCATCAAAGAAATAAAGAAGAACCTGCAGATTCACGGAGAATTATAAAAAAAGGGTGCACCAGCAGGATAAAATGTATCCAAATTCTCAAACATATCCATTTTCTCTGTCACAAATGAGGATGTGACCTCTTGACTCATGTTCACTTGATGTAAGATATATTTAAATTATTATTTATCATGTATTTTATCCCAAAATCTGGTTTTCAACATTCATCGTTTTTAAATTATTGCAGTTTAAATGAAAATTTTTCTCCATTTTGACAACTTTTCCCAAAATTGGGTTTTCTCGGATTGAAATTCATATCATTCTGATTTGACCAAGTACAGGAAAGCAAATTATTGGCGTTTTATCCTTTTTTTCCTTCAGATTATCAGAGGTTACATGATGTACAGTACATTAATCAGCTGGCCAGCATCGATATGATTAATGTTTATTTTGATTTTATTTTTTCTAGCTTGCGAAGATTGAAAGCACTGGAAGGACTTTTGGAAGGAGTGCTGGTGGATCAGCAGTCGATTTCAGCAGTGGAGCAATTCGAGCTGGAACAGAAACCTGTTCATCAGCTAGCACGCGACGGAGACCTCGAGCTGTTCCACAAACTCGCTGCTCTGACGTCGAGCGACATCTTGATCAAAAAGGTGAACACGTTGGACGGAGAGTGTCTAGCGCCGTTACACTATGCTGCTCGTTACCATCACCTGCCCATGGCCAAGGCCTTGATCCTCTGCGGAGCCCGTGTTAATCAAAAAGGCGTCGACGGCCTCACGCCTCTCCACTTTGCCGCAAAGTTAGTTCTTGAATCGACAAATTAAAAACTTTTTTTTTTTTTTTTAGAAAGGCTGATTCTCGGAATCAGTACCCGTTTGGAAAGAAACGAGTATACTGACTTATTATTTATAGTCCGAGCAGAAATCCATTTACGGTAAAATGCAACGGCTGATGTGAATCACACAGGTACAGAAGGATTCCTCCGTCCTTCGAAAGACCCGCAAACTTGAGCCATGAGTCTTCCTCGGCGAATTTGGAGATACCTGATGAGAGGCTGTTAACAATCCCCATCAAAGGAGAGCCCATTCGTGAGGCCATGCCCTTGCTCGTGGGCAGTGCAGCAGGTATAGGACTGTGTTTTATGTTGAAAAAGCATGAATCACCTGGAAGGAAATGGCTTTCATCAACGACTCCGTGGTTTCAAATTTAACATTAAAAATCCTAAAATAATTTACAGGCTACCAGGTAAATTTATACTTTATGGCTCGAGTACGATTTTTAAACCCTGTACGTTAATCTATAGCGGGGTAAAACTGCGGGTAGATGTCACTGGCACTCAAATTTTGTGCTTCTTGCTTATTATGAATAAAAATTTTCCTGGTGCATTTTTGAAGCACTTTAAAATGTCAGTAAACCCTTTCAAACAAATATGTTATATATCTATAATAGGTCAAGGTTTATTGCTACTAACATACCTGTAAGTACTGTAGTTAGAAAAACACCAGAGCCTGTTTCTGATAGTAGCTTTCATTTTCCAGTTCCCGAGATTTTATAGCACAGAAAAAAAGAAAGAAAGATATTAAATCTCACCAACAATAATAATAAACTCACTTGCCGTAAATCTATAAAAAAGTGGTTTGTACCACGGTGACGTCACTCGTCGTGTATATATATATATAGGAGGGGAAGACACGGTGGACGCCCGACCGCCGTCCCCGATCGTGGCCAGGGAGTCGAGCATGATCGCCTACTTGCTGTCCCAGGGGGCCCGCATCAACGAAACCGACGCCTACGGACTCACGCCGCTTCACTACGCTGCCATGCGGGGCAGTCGGTCCGGGACCCCGTTCCTGCTGGAGCATCCCCAAGTCAACATTGAAGTGAGGCTTATAACGGCTGAATGCGCGAAACAGTACTGTTAATGTACTTGATTATTCATGTAGTGGGAACTGACAAGTGTGGCTTTTCATCATCAAATGCTATATAAACACTCATTCGATTGAGATTTTAGACGCGAGACAACTTTTTCCTTGCGTATTATTTGTATCTTTTCCTACTGCTGGCATATATACGTTAGAAATATTCTGGTGTGCCGATCAAGGAAATGATACTTCTAGTAAAAAAACAAAGAGTAATTTCCTCAAGAAATCCATCAATTAGAGAGCTCGTATACTGTATATAAGTGGTATATATGCGGTATATTTAGATCCACGTATATATTCAGTAAATTCTCGATACAAAGAAAAATTTGTTGTCTGAGATGATGCGTGTTTCTTCTAGTTTGTAGTGCATTTTTTAGAAAATCAGGTAAGGTGCTCCTTTATGGTGCATTCAAAACTAATATGTAAATAATTGCCCAAATTTTTAATTTCTTTTGATGAAGCAATGGAAAAAATTCAGAATCTTTCATTACTTGAAACTTCCTAAGAATAACTGAATGTTCTCTGAAGTTGAGCAATAATATCATCCTTCAAAACTTACTTTTCATTTTAAAAATAGCCATTTCAAAATCTAAAATAAAACTAAATAAATTTCGATTTGAGATTCATACCTTCTGCAATAATGCTGAATTTTTATGGACAACGAATTATATTTTCTATTCTTGATGGGTTCTCAATTATTCACAAAGTTTGGTTCTCCCATAGATATTGTGTCAATCAGTAAAACTTTCAATGGCTCATGCATAGAACATATATCAGCAGGGCAAATAAAAATGGATAATTCATTTGTTATAACCAAAATGTTTATAACATTGTTCATACGAAGAAACTGCTGTGACGAAATCAAAATATATTGTATATATATACA